TTTATTATGTTATTGGACTTGGTTAATGTTTCACACTAATTAACCTTTCATAGTTGTTTTGGGAATAATTGATTTGTACTGTATTAGAATACTATAAAGAAAATAAAAATGCCAAGATAGTGCATTGATACACGAATGAAGTAACTTCAAGTCTGTCTACAAGCTTCTGTGTTTCATTAAACAACGTCCTAGTGGTGCCATTTTGATTTGACCTGTAACTGTATTTATTTTGTCTTTATGCATTTGAGATCTCCTTAATGTACTAACTAACTAACTAACTAACAAACTAACAAAATAAATAAATAATCTGCTTATCTATTTAACTGTCCATCAACCTTACTGTCATCATCTGTAAAACAATAACAAATAGTTGGAATGGCTTTCTGGATCCTGTATTTAAATGTGCATTCAATATCAGATGTTCACTGTAGTTTTTTCATGGTGTTTTGAAGTGGATTGAACTTCTATGTTGATTTGCAAAAAGAAAAAAATCTCTTCTCAAATGCAAATAATGTGTTTTTGACGCATGAAAATAAAATTTCAAATGTATATTTATTTTTTATATTCTTCTATCTGCTGAATCACTCCTTTAGCAATAAAAAAATGAAAAGAAACCGTTTGTTATACCCGTTTATTTTCAGAATTGTTTGTGTATGTATCACACTGTAATCCAAATCAGGTGTTAAAATGCTGATCTCATTTTCACTGCTACTGTATCACACAGGATTGAAAAACAAATGAACTTCAGTCAGAAATTTCTATTTGATATTAGAAACCAAATCAAAACTAAAATAAAATGCTAAAAAAAAAAAAACAATAGGTAAGTAAATATTACCTGAAACTGTCAAAAGCTGGAAGCTTCCCATGACTGCCACCACACACCTTTTTGAGTTCAGTTGTGGAATTTGACAATTTTTCAGAAATTCATACAATGCATAGGACTTTGTATTGAAAAAAAAAAAAGAACAATCAAAGTGCTTCGATTTGTTAAAATGACACAGGTTTAACACACTATGTGTAAGACAGATTAATCATGGTTAATTAAAGGTAATAAAAAACTCATGGAACAGAGTGAAGAGATGTGATTGTTTTATAGCTCGCTGTGCTCCATATTCTCATTATGTTGTCGGATCTTCTCTGGGAGGATTTGAGTCATAAACACAAACCGGTCCTTCTTCAGGGCTCGACCAACTACCTGCTCCTTTAAACCAATTGCCAGATACTCCTCTTCTGCTCCATACTTTGGCCAATGGGCAAGGCCATCCCCGTTAGGAGACCTACACACACATGCACACAGTTATAAACAAGTTGGTGTTATCTCCATGTGTACTATCACTTATAATGAGCAGTAATTCCTACCCTGTGCGAGCAAAGTTGCCCCAGTAGCTCATCACGGTTCTGCTGAACTCTTCCTCCTCTTTAGGGCATGGATCTAAAATGATGATAATCTGGTAAAACATTTTACACTCAAGAAATCACAAACACAGCCGAGGTATCTGGTGGTCTGTTGCCCTTACCAGCTAATTTGATATGGGTAGTTGTGAAGCAGAATCCTAACACTCCAAAGATTTCATCTCCATGGTCACTTCCAACAAAGCTAGGCCTTTTTTTCTGCAGGAAAGTGGGAGGATGCTGGTACTCATACAGGTATACAGTGGCGCCTGCATCTAGGTGTGATATGTAACACGTGTGACAGTAAATATTAGATACTGCTTCTTAGATTTGCACAATCTTGCATAAAAATTACCTCTGTGCGCATTAGCAGCTTTAATAGCTGGAATGTTGAAGACAAAATCTCCAATCATCTCAGTCAGTCCATCTCTGTTTTTCACACGGTCTTCACCACTTCCAATGTACTCATCTATCATCAAATCTCCCTTGACTGCATCTTTGGACTTGAAAAGATGAACAACAGTCTGTCAAAAAAGCTTGAATATGTTGAGTAACAGTAATCTTGTAATTTCAGGCTGCGTCTGTCTTACATCAGAGTAGAACATTGACATGATGTTTATGACCTGCTCCTGATCCATTCCTTCTTTCCAGTTGGGAGGAGCAACACCCTAAGGGAAGGCCAAGCAGTAAAACAAGCTCAAATTTCTTCTGGAGATCAGTAAGCTCTTCATTTCAACACATTTCTATTAACAAAAGGGCTCTTACGTCAAGCATTATAAATCCTCCTTCATCATTATTAACACCAGTCATGAATGGGACAGTGAGGAGTTCATGTTTTTGGAACAGCTCATCCACAGGTTTCGTCAGGAAGCGTCCATCAATATTTACGAGAAATCTGAGTTGTTCATCCTTAAGAAAATTAAATGTGTACAAGTTGAGACAGAATTAAACAGTTAAGTAAAAAGAAAAGAGTTCACAGAAATACTGCTGAAGACTTTCGGCTCGTATTCAACTAACAGTATCTCACCTTCCCAAGAGCCACTATAGTGTCGATATCAAGGTTTCTCATGCAATCTGCAAACTTCTTGGTGCTTTCGATGCTACAGCCAGATGCATTTGCAACCATCTGAGGGGAGATGTGAAGAATCAATGTCAACAATTTAGAAAAACAAACGTGTTGTGTCATTCTCAATATTGTACACATGAAAAATGAGCACAGTGCTTATTAACCTGCATCATTGGCAGAGAATCGTGATCATCTAACACAAGGAAATCCATTGCAGCTGTACCGCTCTCAGCGATGGCACGGTGGAACAAGCCATCAGACAATGGTGAGAGGAGCTGTTGATTTAAGCAACAAATAAAATAGTTTGTGTGCATAGAATTGCCTCTGCACTGATATAACTGCACAATCTGCAAAAATGGCATGAAAGTACTTTGTCTGCAAATTGATTCTTACCAGGAGAGATACACTCACTCCACCAGCTGACTCCCCAAATATGGTAACTAAATCGGGGTTTCCTCCAAAGTTGTGAATGTGCTGCTGGACCCACCTCAGAGCTTCTATCTGATCCAGCATCCCAAAGTTCCCTGATACATGTTCATCTCCAGTGCTGGATAGAACACAGAGTTAGAGTCGACCAGATCATGTTTACAGCAGCTGGTAAAATGAGTCACCTTTGATTTGAGGTCACATTAAAAGTAGTAGAATAGAATAAAAGTATGTACTATCTGTGCTTAGTAATTTGGGGTTTGTTTACCTGAGAAAGCCCAGAAGGCCCATGCGATACTGGATCAGAACCACGACCACATCCTGGTATGCAGCCAGAGCAGAACCGTCATACGATGAAGCTGATCCCCAAATAAAGCCCCCACCATGGATCCAGACCATAACCTGGCAAAATCACAAAAGGGGTTGGTCTTTTCTCCAAAGCAGAAAGGATGTTTTGACTTTATTTCTACTACTCACCACATAAGAAGCTCAATAAAGCAACTTTAAACCAAACAAACTTTACTGATGGCAATGCTAACAAGATATCAGTTTGAGTTTAAAGGTAGGCCCATTGCAGTCTGGTTCAAAATATGTGCATCAGTCATCATATTCACATTATACAGACTCTTCTAAGAACACTTTCTCAGCTTTCCTAAAACTGAATCTCAGTAACTGAACAGCATCACTTAGGACCTGCACCAAAGAGTTCTTACTGGAAGCTTGGCATCTTTCGCTCTGTTTGCTGGAGTGTAAATGTTCAGGTAAAGACAGTCTTCTGAAATGTCTGGGATATCCATCAGCCAGCCCTCGAACTTAGCAAGTACCTCCAGAGAAAGCTCTTTATGTTGAATGCAACTAAGAAAAGAAACATTTTTTAATCAATCAATATTGGAGGTAATTCCTCCAAGTGTGGTGTTCAAACACTGCAGCACATGTGTCTTACATGTTTGGCTGCTTGGTGGCGTCTCTCACTCCTTTCCATCCCTCTGCAGGCTGAGGTGGAGCCAGTCTCAGGGAAGGACCTATGGGTGGCTTGGCAAATGGGACACCCAGGAAGGCGTGGACTCCGGTCTCTTTGCCCTTTACACTCACATACTCACCTCTCAGACTCCCGAGCTTTGTGTGCACTTCAGGTGCTGTCAGGATATTAGAACTCAATAAAAATCATAAAGTACATTGCCCAAAGAAAAACACAGCCACAATTCATATTCAGTGGTGGAAGAAGTCTTCAGATCCTTTACTTAAGTACGAGCACCAACACAATAATGTAAAAAAATACTACATTAAAAGCGAAAGGTCTGCATGAAATTGCTCCTTTAGTACAAGCAAAATGTTACATTATTAAAGTAAAAATACTAGTCGGCTCCCTCTGACTGATGTATTACTAATACTGAGGCTTCAGTGTGTCAGCAGCATGGTATTGTTGCTGCATATGGAGCTAATTTAACTACTTTAATACAGTTTCATTTACTGGTATACAGGCTCCAGCTCCCCACGATCCTAATGAGGATAAAGCGGTGTATAGATAATGGATGGATGGATAGTATACCAGATAGATCTGGGGAGGCTTGAGATGATGTGTGATCATATGAGAGGACAGAAGATAAAACAAACCTTTGATACACAAATCTGTTTTCAGTTTTTTTGACTTCTCTCTCATTTTTGATTCTTGGATAAATATTGGATCATTTGAACATCTATTGAAATGAGCGTGGTGGGACATTTAGAGGGAAAAATCACGTTTTGTTGTTACACATTGTTTTTATGAGGACATCAGAAGCCATAAAGGTTGGAACCCACTGCTTTAATTAAACACTGTGTTAGATTTTGTTTTAAAAGGATTGTTATATTTTTCCCATTTTCATTCATCAGCGATAAGGATAAAAAGGGACAGGATGTGAGGATGAAGATTATGCATCCAAGTGTGCCAACTACATCCTACAAGGTGCCTCCATCTGATCACATGCAAACTTTCCTTTCTGCAAATGATTGAATTGTCAGTCCATTGACCAATGATTATCTTTTGGATCGTTTTCTTTTGTTGGTAAAATATTGTTAAGGCAAAATAAGACTCATAGGTGGTTAAAGTTTAACCTGAAGACAACACGAAGGTAACTTGCAACTTTGCACAACAGTTTTTGTGGCTCTACAAATGAGTCCATATCACTATTTAGCCACGTGAAAATAGCAAAAAAAAAAAACTGGAACCTTGGCATGCCTCTGCTGGAGCCATTCAGTCATTTGGATCTGAAGTCACCAAATTTGCAGGAATTATTTTGCTGGAAAAACTAAAATGGCTTTCCAGGTGAGGTGTTTTTTGAGAGCACCGCTGTCTGAAATGACATGAACTGGCCTCAACGTAACTGTGCAAATAAATGAGCTTACTTACCCTGCAGCTCTGCAGCAACACCAAGAAATAAAACAGATATTACAAAGCAGAAAGCTCGTTTTACACTGAACCTCATGGTCGTCTTGGTGTGGACTCTGCAAAAAAAAAAGAAGCATACAAAGAAAAAAAAATTGCCTCTCATAAAACTCTTTCCTTGTAACTTTGACCAAGATAAAGCCACACCCCCACCATCTGCAGTGTGTGGCCTGTCATCCTGCCTAAACACACCCAGAGCGTTATATAAGCCCCTGCGCTGTCCTCCAGATACCCTTTTTCCTCCAAACAATCGCACTGAGAAGAAACAGAGAACAACTGCAAGTTAATGAATGGATACCTAATTCTGTTTTTTTTTCCCCCCTTGGCCAAGTTTTTACAGTAATGACAGTCTTATGGTTGTTTTTGATAGCTTATATTTGTACTGTATTAGATTTCTATGTTTAAATACCACACAGTGCAAATGGAAATGCAACAACTTCCTCGTGTTGAAATGCGATTTGAACTCTATCTGTATTATTTTTGTCTTCATGCATTTGTGGTGTCTTTTATGTACAGAGAAAGTCATTCGTCTTTCCATTCATGCCTCTTTTCACCTAACCATTATCATCTGTGACAAATACTTGAAATGGCTCGATCCATGTCAGGTTTTCTGTGAGCCTGTGCCTTTAGTTTCACAGTAGTTTTTTTTTTTTTTTTAAATAAAATTGTCCTTCAAGCCAGAGAGAACATCTATAGTGGATGCAAAAAAATAATAATAATACGGCTTCCAAAGTCAGCTTTTATCATCTTACCTCTATATGAACCTAGTCTACAGCATGATAACAGGTCACATGAACCTTTTTTATGTGTTTATGTCCTGCAATAAATAATTATTACCTACTATGCCAGAGCTGTTTGTGCCTCTGATTTTAAAGCCATAATCTGTAGCTGATAGTGCTTAAAGAAGATAAATGTGTCCACTGTATTCTCCTATATTACAAGGTGGTGATTTGTGGGGCTTAGAGCAAGAGCAGCTGTAAACCTCGTTAATAACCAAGCAGTCAATGACAATGCCAGTTTAATCCAGGACTTATTTGACCTCTGACAAACAGCATTGACAAGGGAGGCATTCAGATTCATTATGCCCTATAGCAAGAGATCTGTTAAGAAAACATGTTTACTTTATGGGGTAGGTGAGTCAAATCAGAGGTGAGGCTTACCAGTGGAGAGGAGGCTCAATGAAGGAACGAGAGAAATCCAAGGGAAAAGTCACCCTTTTGAAAGGCAACGAGGAAAGGACACTCAATTTAAATAAAATAAACTGTAATCACACATAGAAAACACTGATTTCAAAAACAAGTCAGATGTCACAGAAATATTGCAGTCCCCCAACCAAAATAAAGACCGCACCAAATAGATATTAAATACAGGAAATAAACAATGATGTCCTATAGCTTCAGTCATAGCAAATCAGAAAAAAAGGATATAAACTAAATCACTCACACTGGATACCAGTCCCGTGATTTATACATTAGTATGAGTACTTGCATTGTGACTGGACACCAGTTAAATATAGAATTGATCCTATTTTTATCAATGTTATGAACATAATGTTGTTGCTGCCTGTCTGATAACATGTAGGGTCACACGAGGACAGGCACTTTCCTTCAAAAACAGCATCTGCGCTTTGCAAAAAATATACATTCATTGCATGTCAATATAGTATGCACCAAAGACTGTATAAGAAAGACATCTTTCTACATGTATATCTTACTTAGATAGCCTATGGCACGGGTGCCGAATCCTGGTCCTTGAGGGCCGCAATCCTGCATGTTTTAGATGTTTCCCTCTTCCAACACACTTGATTCAAATGATCAGGATCGTTATCAGGCTTCTACGGAGCTTGATGATGAGCTGATCATTTGAATCAGGTGTGTTGGAAGAGGGTGTCGAGTTATTTGGGTCATAAACTTCATTGTCTGCCTAAACTCGGCTCGGCATTGACGACCACAGAGGACGCTGGTCAACTTCACTCATTTCCATCTTTTATTTCATTTTTTCAGAAAGGAATCAGGCTGAGTGGTCAATAGTTGATAACCTTAAAATTAAAAAAAACACAAACCCATATTAATTAATTAATTAATTAATCTATCAACAACCATTTAACATCCAACATAACATAACTCAAATTAGCAATTACAATTAAACACTTTGAATATAGTTGAAACTGTCTCAACCTACCAGTGGCATCTCTGCAGTCATCAGCACAATGAAGAACAAAGGAAACACACCTGCCCAGGACCCACTAATGAAGCCTTCTTCTCTTCTTCAGCCCTGAGCTGACACCTACTCACCCAAAAATGGCAGCACTGCCCTCTTGCTGCTAGTAAAAAAAATGGAACTATAGGTGAAAAATTAAATAAACAAATAAATACATATGCACACAGCATAATCTAATTCATAACTTAACAGAGGGAAACATCTAAAACATGCAGGATTGCAGCCCTCAAGGACCAGGATTCGGCACCCCTGGCCTATGGTATGCACACAAGAAGCATGCTTAAATGGCAATTGTTCATTTACAATTGAGGGCTTTTACTGATATTTAAATTCATGATATAAAAATACCATCTAATCATAGGGAACAATAGGGATGTTTACCCGAGTGTAGCAAATAATCAGCGAGTGATCCTTTTAGACTGATAAAACATTTTTCAGGACTGGTTGGCCTTTGTGCTACTACATTAATTGACAGTGTACATGGATCCGAAATCTAACATTAGCAAAGCTACGGTATTGAAAATCACTCGTGGTTACGTTGACGTGTCTACTTTCAGAAGTCTAACATTTTTACATATTACAGAAAATGGTTCTTTTTGCTTCAAACCATATAATAGTCATTGTGACAGCGGCAAAAGGTTCGTATATGTATATTTTTATGATTGAACCATAGACACTTATTCTGCACAGTCAGACTATTTCCCCATCTTATCTCAGAACCAAGTCTTTTGATTTCCTCCGATTAGTAAACGGATTTCTATACTAGTTAAAGATTGGTAAGGTCACTATCAAGACTAACAAAACATTGAAGCTAGATTGCTCGCACTACAGGAAGCTAATACAGCAAAACATTATTAGCTTAATGGTTAGCTTTTTTTTTTTAATGCTGTTTACTGTTGTGTCATAATTTATCAGAAATGCAATATTATCAAGGCTACAGTATTGAAAATCACTGATGTCCATGGGGAGAATCTTTCCTCAAAAGTCCTACTCTTATATTTTCACATATTACACAAAAAGTTTGTTGTTGTTGGTTCAAACTAATGGATCATCCTGAATGTGACTCTCATGTTGACAGTAAAGAAACGTTTGTGTATGTAGTTTTTTTTAGTCTCAAACCACAGAGGCTTATTTTGTGCAGTCACATATTACGCCATCCTACCCACCTCTGGGGGATATTTCACTCTGGTTAATCCTGTTGCACTTTGATCAACTTTGCTTGCTTTACACTGGTGTATATACATTTGATTTCATTTGATTAGAGCAACATAAAGAGTGTCATCCCCCTATCCTCACACAATGATGCTGACCCACAGTCCCTGTCGGACATACCAGACACTTCAGCTAACAGCGAGAATGACAAGCAGAGAAAACAACACCATGTACATACCGACACGTGCAGAGAGGAGGGGAGTGCAAGAGAAAGGAGGCCCAACCAGCAGCAGTCTGTGAGGGAAAAGGAGGACAGAACAGTACACATACAAGCACCGCCTACTGACCGATCTGTGTTCTAGGAAAAGGCCCTCAACATTCCTGGAAGATCCCACAGAGCTGTGTGCGCAGTATTTATAGCTTCATTTCGAAGCCATTGCATTATTCTGTATGTATTTGTAGAGCCACATAATCTTAACAGAAACTTTGAAGGTCAACAAGTGTTGTTACTCGTGTATTTCTTCCTAACAGGGCTGCAGCTGAGAGGCTTAGACTTTCTTTATTGTCATTGCACAAAAACAGTGAATCTGGCAACGAAATGTCGTTGCTTAGTACACAGAACTGGAACTTGTGAGGCAGTAACTTGTTAATAAATATTGTAAACTATAAATATATCTATACATGTATATATGTAAAAGTAGTGCAAGGGGGAAAAGAGCTAAATATAATCAGTATAAAAATAACAGTGTATTGGCAAAACGTACAAGGAGCAAAAATATAAATAGAATAAAAATACCAGTGTCAGAATATATATATATGAAATATTGCACCTGAAGTAATTAGCAGCAGTGTTTGAAATATTGCACAGATAATATTGCACTTAGTGTTCTTAAAACAGTCCAGGGAAGTGGAGGTGTTCTTCAAACAGTCCGGGGTTATTTGATTATTAAACTTGATGTTACAGAAGAAACATACATCTAAGCACATTAAGGCACAGTGATGCAGACCTCACCGTAAAACGTCACAGGAGAACGATTGATCTTGCACTATTTTTCAAGAGAGTCTCCTTTACCTTCAACATGCTTGATGTTCAGAGTTCACATCATGGCCTTCAGATTCTCCTCAACAGCATGCGTGACCTCATCATCACTCTGAAAATGGCGATAATGCAAGTGGGGAGGAAACAGAAGTCAGATCGTGCAAAGTCGGGTGAGTAAGGTGCATGAGGCAACAGCTCAAAGCCACATTTGGCTGCTTCTGCTGACGATGGACGTGTTCTTTGCCAGCTCAAAGCTTTATTCTCCCTTTTTCCTCTGATTGCTTCATTTGAGATTAGAAGCGATATAAGGTGTTATAGTATAGCGTTATACCCCAAAATGGGAATTCCGCCCCATGAGGCCGAGAACTTGCACAAGCCTTCCCCTGTACAACCCCACTTACAGCTGACAGGAATACAACATTCTGCTATAGCAGTCGGGGAAACCATGGTAAGAACCTCTTTGTCACAACTGTTCATTGTTTTTAATGGTTTGTATGTGTATCACAATGTAATACAAGACAGATGTTTTCCCTTTTTTTTTTAAAATCACTGCTATTGTACTATACGGTATGGAAAAACAAATTAATTTCTGATGTCAATAGAAAAGGATTTTCTTAAGAACCCCATGCTCACACATGAAAACCCTGCTTACATACAGGACATTGTGGTAGATTGTCAGCTGTTCAATGCATGCTTTGCTGTGATTTCTGGTTGAGATTGTGTACTAAAAAATATTAGGTAAACATTCCATGGAGCAATCTGCCTTTAAAAATGATCTGAATAAATGCAGTGCCTGGAACATGTATATCACGCTGGTTTACGTCACGAGGGGGATCAGGAATGGATCCAGATGTGGACACATGAGGCAGGAAGGTTACAGCTATAAATAGGAAACTGCAAAGGAGACAGTTTTATCAACAAATATTGGACATCATTCCTCCAAGTGTGGTGTT